ATCCGAAATATTTTCTAGCCTTGTTCTCAGCTGTTAAAAATCAATTTGGATTTTTTCGACCTTTGCACAATCGCGATGAGTATTAACTATATTATTTTATTCAATATAATAACAGTCTAAAAATGGTGGATTTTTGATTTTTTGGTTCCATTAGGTTGTGGTCTTCTTGTTGATTTGATGAAAAAAGCCGTGCAGACGAAAAATTATACCGAGCTGGACAACGCGATCAAAACCCAAGTGGAACCGATGCTGTACAACAAGGGYGAAGGCAGAATGATACCGATTGCCAAACTCGTGTTACTGAGAAATCGTGATCGTTCCCGAGCAAGATGGGTAAGTGAAAAACATTCAAAATTAATAATCTATATTGTTTTACAACATTACATTTTTTTATCACACAATCTATAAAAATAATTATTTACAATAAGTGCAGGTGTAGTAGAGTTGATTATGTGTGGACAAATGTTAGGCCTTCCATTGACTTATTTACTATATAGCTAGTAGGTTTCAACAACATTTTCGTTTTAAGCGCGTTACTGCAGAGTTACCAGGAATGTCGGAAGCTATAACAACTCATTTATGAGTAGGTTAAAAATTGCAATTAATTAGTATAGGTGGAAATTAAATTTTTTATTAAAAGAACGTTGACAATTATTGAGCGCGTGGGTAGAATAAGATACCTACCTAGTGTTGGGCTTTAAGGCCGGGCCAGACATAGGTTGAACCGCATAAGTGTGAACGCGTATCAGGCAATTGCGTTTAAAATCAAATAATTTGAATTTGTTGTGCGGTACAACCGCTATGTGTGGTCCTACCCTTAATGATTTGGCGATTTAGGTTGGAAGGTTTGGATACTGTAGTTCATATTGGAACGTTTAGCTAAGCCCCAGAGCTGGACAAAGGTCCATGTAGGCTTAAGTTGGCTCTAAAGGTGTTGTATATAAGTATTTTGTTATTAATTAATATTTGGGTGTTTTAAGATAAGAAGGAATCAAAAATGGCGGAATCAACTGTTTAGGTTAGGTTAGATGAATTGCTTGTTGTAGATCTATAGATAAAGCCATAAAGGACATAATCAGTAGGTGGGTCTGGTATGTTGTTTAGAGTGACGGTGAGGTAGTCTTTAAGCCCAAAATTAATATGAGATGATTATATTTTCAACGCCGTAGAGTAAAATAAAATCATCGCGTAAAATTAAGCACGCAGGTGCTGAATTTTTTTTTTTGTATGTTTAGTAAAATATTAAGTCGTAACAAAAGCAAGTAGCAAAAATTAAAAAAGGGGATCTAATAAATAAAAAATGAACAGGGCCTTATTGAAGTGAACAAGATATTGCTATCGGATTAATAAATCAAACATGCCACTTATTCGGATAGGTTACGTGCCGTCGAAATGCTATTCGAACTGGTAATAAAGCATTAAACTTTCTAAAGGCCAAACCTAAATGTGTGCAGCTGAAGAAAAAACTAAAACTTACGACCACTGATTTTTTAATTTAATGTTTCGGAGAAAAATGTTGTAAAGTAAAAGATTTATCGAACCAAATAGTGTAGTATGATAAATTATGGTGTGCATATATATATATATATATATATATATATAATTTGAGTGTACAATTAAATAGGAAATCATAAAAAAAATCGTCCTAAGGTTTTTAAATTATATTATATAAAAGGTGGTAAAAGTATAACCGTGTTTTAAAATTGAGGTTAGTGCTAAACGTTACTGTAAGGTTCCAAATGGGTGACAAACTGAGATTTTTAGCAACGTGCCGAACTTTCCATTTCCYCCCGTCATGGCATAAGTAATTTTATAAGTTTATAAAGTAGATTGAGTATAATTATACTAACGAAATATTAAAATACTTATTAATACTACTTTTGCTAAAACTGTTTTAACTTATTTAATTAAAATAACATAATATTTATTTGTTTTTAATTTTAATGCCCAAGCTATTATTATTTTTTATACGAAAACAGTAAAAACTTTTAATTTTCAAATATAACAAATTCTTTATAAATKAAAAAAAAAATGTTCTTAATTTTTTGACGAAACTGCGTAATTGAATATTTATCATGCCGCTATTTCACTAAATTAACGTTTAAAGTTTAAACAAAAGGTGTGGTATTGACAATGATACATATATATATATATATATATATGTCCTTGGCATAATGTATTTGTTTCTCGACGTTCTATGCTTGTCTGAACTTAAAGCATTTATAGTTCAACAACTACAACGGAGTGATTAATATTCGATTTTGGTTCATTAAAAAAAGTGTCAAACTATTCTAACAAATTTTTATAATAATATAGAATAATGTCTTTTGTATAACTCGCACAATTCGATTATTTTCGCGTAATCTATTAGTTTCTATTCAATATTAGGCCCTTTTGCAATTGATAGTAACTTTAGATTTTTCGGTTCTAATGTAATAAATTCTAGCAAAATACAAACCAAACCACGATTAAAAACAAAAAATACATAAAATAGCACTAACATTGATTTAATTACGTTCGAATATAAAAAAATACATCGAATGAATCAATGAGCTATTTTTTAAACGTACGACATATATTACTACGTAAATTACCAATTAAGTTTAGATACAAAAAGATTGATATAATTATAATTAATGATAATTTTATGATTGATAGATTTTTGTATATTTCCCCAAAAACATTTTCGATTTATAATTTAGTAAAGTATCATAATGCGTTACCTACTGATATAACAAAATATTTAGCACGAACAATAATAAATAATGTGTTAATCTAAATAGTTATTTTTGATCAATAAAACACTGACATTATACTAGATACTTACATATTTCTAAATGACAACCCAATACTGGAATTTAACATAGTATAACTTAATGACATTATAGCTAAATAATTCTTATAATAATATTATATACATATGATATTTCGTTTTAATTAACAATATCAACAATCTAACCTATTATCACGGTCTGCTAGTCAACCTACAACKGTAGATTTGCAACTTTTTTAATATTAGTACCTACAAACTATTATTACATTAAATGAAAGAAAAAATTAATTTAAAAAAAAAAGTAAGTAAGTTCAGCAGTAATTTCTGTGTCTAGTTTTATATGAAATCGATATAAATACTTACACACAAAAATTTAATGACTGACTAAAGAAACTAACTATATTAACATTTTATATTACAATAACTTAATTCGTATTATGTATCTACTTCTATATATTATGAATTTAGCATTATGTGGAAAAAATTAAATATTTTTTAAGAATACATATTAGACTGAACTACATAATTTAGTTTTAGATACCTATATAGTGTATAATGTTTTTTTAATACATTTTTTACTAAATATTACAGATTATTGCATTATGCAACCAAATATATTATAATAGATATTTGTAAATAAATCAATCACCACAACTACTTTATCTTTCGTGACTTGATACTATAATAATAAAAAAGCACCAATAATATAAATATTTTATATGTGTAAATACTTTACGCCGTATTAAAACTTTGAAGTAGGTTTAAGGTTAATAATAAAATACCAACACAATTAAAAATAAAAATGCTATATTGAAATTGCTTTAGAAGTTTTAAYTCAGATTTAAATATATGAAATGTTAAACTATTCTCAAATATGTTTAATAATAATAAGGCAGTAAAAAATCTAAATTCGCTTATTTATATGTATTTTACAATATAAGCAGTTAAGCACAGCTAAGAATCCATTGGTTTCCAAACATATTTTTTTAAATACTTCTCGTTACAATAAAGTAGTTTCCTGAAATTTGCATATAKAAATTCTTTCTTAGGAAGAAAACTTGTATACACTATCAAATAAAACTTTTAATTGACATTTTTTTTTGTATTTTATGAGCGTGATATTATACGATTCGATTGATTGGCTATGTTATTTATATCAATTTATACATTTTAAAACTTCAAGATAACTTGTATAATGTGTGTTGCCGTGTTGGTATGGAGTTAAATAGTTTCTTTCAGCTGAATATTAACTTTTTTTCATATACTATAAACAATTTGAAATTTGTTTATTATGAATTAGATAATTAAACTATGTTATACATATTGTGTGTTTAATTTTCATCAAGGTAGGTAATTCAAAAACCATGTTTTTTTTTGGTCTTCAATTTTTAAAACTCTGTTCATTTGATAGGTATTATATCTGAGAAATCGATTTTGGAAAGTATTTTCTTTGATTTTAACGTTAGAACGACGGTTTCGATACTACAATTATTCATGATTAGGTACATGAAACCGTATTCCACAAGCCATAGGTACCATTTTTCTCTCATAGGTTATTTAGTAATAACATTTTGGTCAAAGGTCTAACGCGCAGTATATTAGTATATAGTAATACATTTAACAATTTCTTTTAATTTGCCTTGACTGAAAATAAATCATTTATCAAAAACACCTATTATAACAAATTAATTATAATATTGTTCAATGTGTACAGCAATAATGTATAATTATTAACTACATATAATTTTAGCCATACACTTTTTTCGACAGTTAATTGTGTTCAAATAAATAAAATAATAAAACTCCTATTAATACTTTTGGGTTTTTCTTGTACAATATAACGAATCAAAATAAATTTATCGACAAAATATTATTTAAGTTAAATTACATTGACAGTCGACAAACTTAACAAT